TTGACTCTTAGTTTATTCAATGTTTTTACTGCACTTATTGTTTTAAAACATTTTTCCCTAAATTTTCACATTATGAAAAATGTTTACATTATTTATTGGCTGCATCTAAAATTATCAAAGATATTTTCAATTTAAACATAGATATGAAATAATAGAATGAAATCATTGTTCTAAATCCATCCATTTTCTAACACGCTTATCCCAGGGGGGTTGCGAGGGGTGCTGGTGTCTATCTCCCTCTGTCCACCCTGGACAGGTAGGTCATCAATTCAATTCAGTTCAGTTTATTCTGTCCAATCAGCTGCCTGTAGTGTCTGTAAATGTCCAGCAGGTGTCAGTATTCTGCTATAGCTTCCAGATGCCTAATCAAACCCTCACTAGATGATGATGGAGGCAGCTATGGACATTATAAACGCAGACGCCTCATTGGACGCCCTCTGACGTGCCTAGAGGGCGGCCATCTTGGATGGGCCTACAGTTCATTCTGCTGCAGTCAGAATAAACAGGAAGAGCTTTAGATCTAATTTCAATCCCATGAAATATGAGTCAGAAATAATATTACAATAATCGGACACGTCACAACAACTTAAAAGACCAAAATTACCTTTCAGTTAAATTACAGATTTATTCAGATTAAAAAATATTGAAACTGAACTAAAACTGAATGAGATATATGAAGTTATATATTTTGCAATTAAATATTAATATAATAAACAAAAAGTTTTACATGTTTTACAAATAATATGTATTTTTATTCAGTATTTTAAAGGATTGCTCTTTGATAATGAGTATTATGATCTATAGAGGAAAATTTGCTGTAATCACTGATCTCTATTCCCTGATCGCTTGTTGGTAGCACGGGGCCGCCGGCCGCCATATTGGTACTCCCTAGTCAACCCGGTCGCACGGGAAACAACCTTTGAGGTACAGGATTGAACATTGATGATGTCATTTTCAGACTTTTAAAATAAAGATAAATTCATCACTTTGACACAGACTGGCTGTTTATAGCCTCAGTAGATTAACTTAAACTTAAAATAAATAAATAGGCCCATCACATTGCTATGAAGTATATAAATAATATAACATATTATACAAATCCACAATAAAATGTATTTTATTGTGGATTTATATTGGTATTATTTATACATGTATTGATGACATGACTTGAGTCAGTCTGAGATAGCCAGACTAATGTTAGTCTGCGATAGCCAGACTAATGTTAGTCTGCAGACTAAACTATAGGATCCATCAGCTATAGATGGATTTATTGCTTAGTTCATCCACTGACTGGGAAATGACCTGAGGAACGACTTCCTGGTTTTAGCAGCTAAATGCTGCACAGGGAGGCATTTTACTGCACTGTGGGAGTGGGGAGTACCAACATGGCGGCCGGTGGCTTCACTTTTTTCAGGCAATCAGCAATCCAGTGCATAAATAGAGATCAGTGGTTATAATGTGATTTACAAAAGAGAATAAAGTTATTTCATTCTTTTAAATTAGTTTTCATTGTCGAGCCTTTTCTGTCAAACCTTAACGAATGCTAAATTTATGTCGTCTCACTAAAGGCTTTCTGTCCTCGTTTGTCTAAACTTCTTCCAAAACTCTTTTTTTAATCATTTATGAACATGAGAACATTTGTTCTTTAATCAGTAAATATCTCTCATATATGTTTATATTTTAGAATTAGTTTTGGTCTTTTAAGTGACGTGTCAGATTATTGTAATATTATCTCTGACTCGTCTTTCATGGGATTAAAATGAGATCAAAGGCTCCTCCTGTTCATTCTGACTGAACTGTGGTCTGATCCAAGATGGCCGCCCTACATGAGGCGGGCGCTAATGAGGGGAAGCAGTTGGACGAAGTCATCAGGAAGCTGGTTCAGTCCCAGTATGGCAGATGGTAGAAGTTTCCCAACAGTCAGAAACCAGCGGACGGCATCACGCCGGGCTTCTCACGCCTTTACGGCCATTTTGTTCAGAGAAAGGTCATTCTATTTAGTGCAGCTCTCAGTGAACCAGCAGCTTAGCAGTAAAAGAACATTTCCATTCATAAAGTGCAGCAGTGATCAGAACATAAACACTGTGGGAGGAAAAAAAACATCGATGTGGAAATTTAGAGCAATTGAACTCTGAAGCTCCAGCATAAACTGCTCTGATTAACCAGCCACTCTATGCATGTAGCTCTATGATCTAATTATTTTACATTTTAAGGATTAAACTTTGTTACTTAGACATCCTTTGAAGCTGTGAAGAGACAGAAGGCCTCAGTGGCAGACTGTCACCCCTGCTGGCCACCAGGTGGCGCACCAGTTTGTTCAATTCATGCAGCTCCTGTAACAGGACTAATCCTGGAAATTAAAAATGACAAATAAAAGGAGAGGAATAGAAGTTTATTTATTTAAAATCAACAATGATTTCATTTCATTCAACAGTTCCTGGTATTAAGTCAGCAGTTCAAACATCAGAGGAATAATTTATTTAATATTAACTAGAAAAATAAACTTTCCTCTAGATGAAAACTCTACAGCTCCACCCAAAAACATACTTAATATTCAGTGAATATTCTCCAGTGTCCAAATATGGTTTAGTTTATGCATCTCTATTCTATGTATGAACATCTACACACGTCAGACTTTAATCTGTACATAAATCTCTCCTTCAATGGAGGGAAAAAAGGAACAAACGGAGCAGAAACACTGCAGGATTCAGATTAACTCTCTGTTCAAAGGGAGTTTTTCCTCTCCACTGTCGCTACAAGCATGCTTAGTGTGAGGGATTGCTGAAGAGTCAATGAGTCGATGCAATCAGCTGGTTTTCCTTAGAAAACTTTGAATCAATCTGACTGGATGATCTGGTTGAACTGGATCTATAAAGTGACCTGAGGTGAATTGGAGCTATAGAAATAAACTGAATAGAACTGAACGTCTTCCATTTTCAGAAACCTGAGGACTTTGATCCTCACCGCTTTAAATGAAGCGCAGAATTTAAAGCTTTCTAATGTGTCTTTAAGTTAAACCTCCATAAACTCCGACAGTTGGAGGCTGAAGGGTGATGACCTTTCCTCAAAAATTATTTCCTGTAGAACAAACTTATGCTTATTAACGACTAAAATTAATGGGCAAAATACATCCTGAGATTTCAAATAAGCGGTGAAAGCAACCTTTCTAGATTTTCTGCTGAAGTGAGCGCTGTGGAGGAATGTTTCCCACGGTGGGTACAGCTGTACGGCCACTGTACCTTCTAGTCTAGAAAAACACCATAGAATGGGCTGATTGTGGCTTTCAAATCAAATATCAAAGTATTGGATAAAATATACATCCTAGACTTTATTGGTTAATATTGAAGTGAAACTAGTTAAAGCTACCAGCGTGTAACGGCGTCACAGTTGAAGCTTGATGTCGGCTCAACCTTAACTAGAAATACTATGGAAAGAGACGCCGCTTAGAACAAAAAACTATTACTGTGACTGGGACTAAACGAGTTAAACCTGAGGAAGGAAGGAAGTCTTCACAGACGGCACCAAAAACACCTGAAACATTTAAGCTGTTCTGGTGGGCGGCTGTGATTATTGCTTAAAAGGATGAAGGTGAAATGAGACCCGCATTAAAACTGGAAGATTTTGATCAACTATCCGCACTTCTGAACCCAAAACGTCTCAAATGCAAAAACGGATGCACCGTTGCCCGTAGCAACCAGTGCTGAAACGAGGTCCACCTCCCACTGAGATCCATCCTGTCCGATGACATCAGCACGGCCCACTGACTTCCTTCCATGTTTCTAACCATGTTTAATTTTTACACGTCACTGTTAAGCTTCTCTTTAATTTTATCTACGCTGCCAGCGGCTGTTCTAATCGTTTTATTTCCGAATTCTCCCAA